GGGGGGCTCCTGCTGCCCGCTGCCGACAGATGCAGCGCGCGGCGGTGACAGGCGAGAGCCAGGTGGGAGGGGCGGACGGATGGGATGGCGGCCCTACTGCTCGCCCCTCCGCCCCGCCGCGGACGGGCCGGGGTGTGTTCCAGTTAATCGGCCGGGCCACATCTCGAAAGATGGGGATCGATTGTAATGAGTGTCCGTCGAGTTGTCGGGCGTGAGTCATTCTCGCCGTGCCCACACGTCACGTGTGTGCTGGTGGTAATTCTGCGGGGCCCAGGCCTGCGAGGAATGGAGATTATTGAGGGACGGAAGTGGTGTGTCTCTGCGCGGACGGGGGAGAGAGCTTCTTACGAATAACGCAGTGATCAAAGATTAATCGAAGCAACCAAAAGCGGACTTATTTAGGGAGATTCATTTCCATAAGAGGTAAAACGTTAGCTGATGAAGTCCGGCTACCGCGGAGGTCTCAAGACTGGTCCAGGAGACAAATTATAAGTAAACGCGGAAGGGGGGGAGGAGAAAAGCCGTGTTCCGATAGTCTTGTACTGGAAATAAAGGCATGTAGTCAACCACGGCCCACCACTCAGGTACAAAATAACGGCCGCTGCCCGCTATGATTTCGTCTCGAAAATTAGGCGGTTGCCTATGTATATTTCCCCGTTTCTTGCGTTGTTGGTCGCTTATCTAAAGCGTGGATCTGGGTGGTTGTAGGTACGTCCAAAGAATCATTATGTCTGTCGTCGTTACCACCGAAAATCAAGCCGGGACTTCTCGAAAAAAAAGTGTGCGAGGGATCTGTGCATGTGTCTGCATGTGTGTGTGTGCGCGCGCGCGTATGTGTGTGTGTGTGCGTGTTGCTCGCGCCGTAATTGAGTGTCGATGTCATGATATGACGACCACCGGCCACTCCGCGGCCATGCTAGGCATCCCCTTAATGATGTCGTTACTGTCCTGGCTGTTTTCGGTGGTCCACACCACTTGATAATTAGGGTTGGCGGGTCCGGCTCTCCGGGCTGAGCCCCGCGCTGCCGGCCATCCCCGTACGTGTGGTCGTTAGGTGGCCGCCGGGACCTCCCCGGACCTCCCCCAGCGAGGATCCCGTCCAGGCCCCCGCAGCCCCGCGCCCCGCAGCACGGAAGCCCCCCGGATCCTTATCGGCGACTCTCCCGGCGGACGCCCTTCAACGGCTCCGTCAAAACGACTGAAACGGGCCACGACAAAAACGAGTGAAATGTGTACACCAGAAATCCGGAATCAGGTCTGATGGCCACCAGCGAAGAAAAAAAAAGAGAAATAGAGGTCAGTGTTGATAATCGGGTGGGAATGACACCGGTGTATGTGTATCCCACCAGACGAAGGTGAGAAGAAGAGAGACAAGGGGACATAGCCCCCCCCCCCCCCGTATGATTGTCAACACAGGAATAGCAACATAAGCGTCACGGGGCTGAAAAACCCCTGTCCGCTTTCGTAGATACTGCACCGAACGCATCCGTGTGGGTGGGTTGCCTATCGTTCTGGCTGTAAGGCGTTCCTAAGCTGCTATGGACGATTAGGAAAACCAGCCCGCCCTTCTGACTGGATGCGATGCAGACATAGCTCTACGGGAGTCTACC